AGCTCGCCAGTGAGATACAGTGTGCACCAACGACACCACAACAAACCACAGAGAAGCTCCAACTACCACAAACACAGAGCGACGTCATTCCCTGCTCAGGATGCCATTACTCCTTTATAGCTTTACATAGCAAATACTTGTGTGCTTCTATATCAATACTAATGTCGTATACAGAAACTTAAAACAGTCGTCGTTGGTTGCTTCAGACTGATGCTATGGTACCAAGTGATTCCATTTGGCAGCTTCATCTTTGTGTCTCAATGAAAAAACACCCAAGGTTATTTTTATAAAGAAAAAACTTTAACATAGTTCTTAAGTTTATATGAGTCTGTAGGAGATTCCTATGTATGAGATAGTGTGTCAGTGAGAACATTAAAACCATGATTGTTGCTGTGATTCTGTGAGGAGCTTTCTTTCCAGTCAAAATCATTGCCAAAATCTTTCATGCCTAACTGCTGAGGATGATGAGTCATGTCTACAACAGCTATCAGACAATCACAGCTTATGCTGGACCTCCAGTGTGGCAGCCAGAGGGTGTGTTACGTCACCTGAAAGCCCTTTAATCCAGCCGGGCTGCACAGCTGGTGGGCCAAGATAAGGAATGACCACTGATACATAACGTCAACCGTTGAAGCTGTAGCTGCAGTGCGTGTCTGCTAATTCTCTCCTACGCATACCATTTCTGCTTTTAATGGAGCAAATAATCGAACAAATCGTTTTAACAGGAAAGAGTTGCTTCTCTAACCACTGACCTCGTACGTTCTTCTGAAAACTTTGAGCATATGTGAGAGGTTTAATCCACTGAAGCGCGGGGACATTCACACTGTATGTGTAGACTTGGACTGGATAGTGACACAGTTTAAATGTGCGTCAGTGTGCTCGGGTGGAACAAATATCTGGCTCTCCAAAGCATGACAGAGGCACGGGCTGGAGGATCATTATGTAAGGTGGTTAATTTTGGGCCCCAGAGAGATTTTAAACCGCCAACTATGATCCAGATAACATACTGAGGGTGGTTTATCCCAAATTGGACTGAAATTCTTTTCCACAGAAGATAGTTTGATGACTGGAAAAATTTGGAATTACTAGTTGTAGCTAAACAGCTTTCCTGCAATATCTTGATACTCCAAATAGTAATAGTATAATAATGTTTGGTTGGATTAAACGTCACTATAATCACTGCTTCATTATAAATCCCTAAAGGAATATTGCTCTGATTCTTTTTCCATTCTAAATGCAGCCAAGAAGCAAATACAGCAAACAGTGTGGTCATCCTGTGGCAGTATGAACAAGAGTCTATGTGTGTCACTTGGGAAAACTATGACCTGACTTACATAGCTGCAGAGCTGATGAGTGATGTTTTGCTTCTCAGCAGCTCTGCTCTGGGTTTGGAGTACAGCGCGGCACAGTCTCAGAGTGGGATTACATGTGTCGTGTTTATTTTTCCCTCTGCTGCAATATAAAAGAGCTCATTATGTATCCCGGCATAGAGAACGGAATTATGCAAGTGCCTCGCGCTTAAAATGGAAGTGGTATCATCAAAGGCTGAGAGGGCTGGAGAAGAAAAAGAGAGGGGAAAGTTTTCCTCTGTTTATAGAAAGTGTTTATACATACTGAACTTCCTGCGTTCACCTTACGTCTCATTGTACAATAGGTTACATTCAACTTTCAACAACACATCAGATAAACCATTTATCATACCTTTGAATCCACGGTTAAGTAAGCAGTGAGGCTGTAAGGCTCAAGATCAGATTTCTTTTTCTTTGCCAGAGTGGGAGAGCAAGTTGGATATCAAACATATCAACAATTCAAATTCAATTTATTGCTTGTTGAGAGGAGAAAGATATTTATGCTCTTGTTTGAACTACACTGATATTTTGGGCTGTGTAACTGTCTGATTACACTTGATTAATATTATATATCACCAAATATGCAGAAGAACTCCATTGCAAAAAAACCACTGAATTTCGCTCTCCATACAGAGTCGCATCAGAAAACCAGGTATACCAAACTCCACTTAAAAAGCACTGATTTACAGAGTCACGTCCGAAGAGTGGGTATACACAACTCCACTGAAAAAGACACTGATTTTAACTCTCCGTAAAGTCACATCAGAAGAGCAGGTATACCAAACTCCACTAAAAAAAAACCCAGTGATTTAGGCCCAATCCCATTTCTACCCCTTAAATCTTCCACTTGGTATTGAGTGCCCTCGTTTGCGAGATAACCCTTGATGAGGGAGGTGAGAAATATAAGGGTAGAGATCTTTCCCTACGAAACGAGACACCACTTCATGCAAATCGGTGTGGCCGATGTGCAGGCATACGTCACGCGTAGTAGCGACGCAAGATACCGGTAGTCATTCAGGTTTGAAAATGCCGGCTCCAGCGCTTGTGTTGTGGCATGTGCTATGTTTATTCTTCTCTGTCTGATGAATCAGAATGAATATGCGCCTACAACGTCTTCTAGTTCTGATCGTTTTTTTTCGGGGAAGTCGATTTGTTTAAATATTTTGACGCTGTGTTCAACCGAGTTGCTGATGAGTTTATGCTAGTCCAACCATCTGTTGTTTGTATAGCCTACATTCCGATCGTACAATAACAAATTCTTTTCCAAAACTTGCCGACGTTGCTGACTTCGCAAGCTGTTTCATCTTCCACTTCGTTCAAAGTGTGGGTCTGGGCTCCCTTGGAATCTAGGGTGGATTTTAAGTCTTGGAAACCACTTCCACTACCTCAATTCTGTTTTGGGACACCACTAGCCAAAACGTGAACGCGCACAACCAAGTGCAAGTGGGTATTTCTAGGGGAAGTGTGGGTATTAGGACAGGCTCTTAAACTCACCATACAGGGTCAGATGACGAGCACTGACACCAAACTCCATTGTGATAACACTCCATTATTAGGCAGTAGAATGACGAAATTTGTGCCATATAATGTCACACTTTCGTTGAATTCAATCTATTTCATTATCAATCCATCCATATTTGAGTATGCTGTCCATTTAGTAACCAACGGTGGATTAAAATATGAGCAAAGTGGTCCCAAAGGTTGCAGTTCGCTGTGAAGTTACAGAGTTTCTGTAAGCCAACATGGAAGTTAACGTCGCCCAGGTTACCGCGTCAAAAGCCTATAGGAATTTTCCACTGGATTACTGCAGAAAATAAACTCAGTGGCAAACAGGAGTTTATACTTACAAGCTTTGTTCAGCGGGATAACCTTCACAAAAATAACACCACTTTTAGAACTTTTCTTAGCGTAAATGCAATCAGCAGAAATAAAAAGCTAATGCTAGGCTAATAAACAACATCACGGTTACATGACTTCAAATTCTCCACCACAACAAGGCTTTAAATCTGTGTCTGGCGTGATAACATTCTGTAGTCTCATTTAGCCATTTGTGTCTTTTCCTAAACCTACCACATTAACTTTACTTACCTAAATCTAACCTCTCACTTTACGTTGAGTGCAGAACTTTATGAAAAGTAAGCTATTCGTGGTGTGCAAATTTTTAGGATCTCATACAAACTGTTGTATAAGGATATGTTGCATGGAAAAAAGGTCATTCACAAACATATTTTGTCATAGTTTTTCTTATCAAAATTAACACTTTCCCTGCCAGAGTATTGTTTTTAAGTTGCCAACCACCGGCAGCATTTTTGATCATATTCACTGATCTTTCAGGACCCACAGAATAATTTGTTCTATTATTATGTAAACAGTTTTTATATGAAACTTAAGAAGAGACCTTTCGTTTTTATGCACAAAAAATATTTTACTCTATCTTACTCCATTTCTTTTTTAACACTTGAATTTTGTGCATCTTCATAAAACAACAACATGTCGGACAAAAAGCTCAATATTCTCTTTGAGGTACAGCGGAACACGTCGCCACGTTGAGCAATCCTTCAGTGTGATGTTGTCTCCCTCTCCTCTGCGGCCGTCTTGTCCATGTCACCGTCACCGTCATGGCGACCCCGTTTTGTCCCACCAACCTCGTCTGCTTCTTCATCCAAATCGTATTGAGAATGTTGATCAAAGCACGAAGTGTCGGAGTCTGAGACCATCAACATGTCCACGGCTTGCACAACCGTAAACAGCATTTCTGAGCAATTTACAAGCTGCAGCATTTCCGTAAGCAATTTCTAGCAGATTTTCTTCTTTGTTTATTTAGAACATAGCAGTGCTGTTCTATTTCACAAGATGTGTAACAGCGCCCCCTATCTTATGATAGTGAAAACACGGATTGACAGAATATGTCGTCAACGGCAGGGAATCGTTGTGTCACAAATGACGGAAAATCTTGTCAGTGGCGGGGAAAGAGTGAATACTTTAACATGGCTGCAGTTTCCTAAATAAACTTGTTTTTAGTCAAACTATTATTTTAGCATGAGTACTTTTTTGGTTTCTGGGTCTGTGGGTGTACAACGAAGCTGCCATGTGTGGTCTATTGTTTGCAGTGAACTTAATGGGAATTTATAGGCACAATGCTCAGAGAATGGCAATTGGGGGGTGGGGGGTGGGGGGTGAAGTGGGGGTCCGACAGCTACTTTTAGCCCCAGGCCCCCTAAAAGTTTGATCCAGCCATGCTAAAAGTTGAATTGTCATTGCTCATAGAGTCATAGAGGGGGGGCGTCATTAACATTTTTCAGTTACAAGCTGGTGACAGACTCCTCCATGACACATTGAGACCTCCACCTCCCTTTCAGTGACCCTCTGGAGGAGACCCAGAGCCCAGGTTTGGACCACCAGGTGATGGACTCGTCCAAGTCGAAACGTCCCCCCTTCTTGTCCCCTCCGTGACCGCGCTTTGACTCCAGGTGTGTTTATTTACCTGCTGGCCCGGGCCCAGGCGGGAAAGCTCGCGCGTTCGGCTCACTTCCACAAGCTCCACAAGGGTGGACCGTACCATTATGAACGCTAGGAGGAGGGGGAGCCAGAAAGAGAAACACGCTATTATCTCCTGATATAGCTTCAGCATTTAGTCTGGTCCAAACCGGAGCTGTCACAGGGTGTATGAAATATAACCTCCACTTATTTTGGATTAAAATCAACTAGTTTAGTGGAGTTTGTTTTGGATTTATTGGCAGAGAACTTTCCCACCACCCCCTAAAACCCTCCATCGCTGCATCTTGCCTTTTGATTGACCGCTCCATATTTTTTTTTCTGCGTGCTGAATATTCCTCCTGCTGGAGAAAGGAGAAAAAACAACACAGGGGGGAAACTGAGGAAGAAGACACACAGCGGAAAATAAAGGACGTGGAGTTAAAAAAAAGAAAAAAAAAAGAAAGTGAAATAACAGGAGATTAGCAGGAAGACTGGAGGAGCAGGTTGGAAAGAAAGCGAGAAGACACTGCGCAAGTGGAGAGCGAGACTTGCCTTTATAAGCCTGTCATTTCATTCTTATAGAAGTCGGTGCTTTTGTGTGAAGATTTTTTTTTTTTTCGTTCCTCATCTGCTGATTAAAAAGGTGAGTCCATCCCGTTGGTGCTCTGAGAGCAAGAAGTGTGTGTGTATGTGAGAGTGTTTGGAGTCTCCGTGTCCTCCTGGAGAAAGTCAGGGAGTAGCCTGTGCAGATTTTGTCATTGTTCATTCAACAGTCGCGCAACAAGGCAATGAAACCTGCAAAATATGTGTGTGTTCTGTTCTCGAGTGTTAGCTCTGTTGTAGGAATGTGCACGTATGCAACGTGAACCCTCCTGTTTAACACTGCATTATGCAAAACCCTCAAAGTAATCAGTGCCCCCTGTGTTTTCTTCCCTGATTGAATCCAGAAACACGCTGCTCGGTCCGCCTATCAACACACACACACACACACACACACTCTGCAAGACATCAATATTTAAATGTGTGTTTGCATGCAGCAGATGCAGAACATTTCATTTTGCATGCATGTGATCCCGTTTGGAGTGTTTGTGTGACACACAGAGTGCGTGTTATTGACGCGCACATGTGGCACAGCCAGCGGCTCTTTGTTCCTCTCCCCTCCACCTCCCCCTCCTTATAATCACCGACCCAGGCATGACAGCTCAAAGGCATGCCTGGGTGTCCTGCACATAGAATATAGGCCAGTATTGACTCATGGCGCATGAACTTGGATCTTATATGAACATGACCCCCCTCTTCTTTCCTCCATCCCTCCATCCATCCCTGTCTTGTCTGTCAGCCAGCAGCATCATCATCCCTTTGTGGTGTTTTTAAAACAGGATGTTCCCACAGAGCTGCAGCAGCGGCGATATCACGGTTATATACTTATTTTGTGATCATGATATGGAGGCTGAGGTGGTGAGTCTGGGGCCGTTCAAGGGGAGGGGGCTGGCAGGGGGGTTGTTGTGGCACTTGGCGCGCCAGAGGAGGGGATATAATGTGTGTCAATGTCAAATGGAGGTGTGTCCCTTGAGTGTGTGTGTGTGTGTTCACTGGCCCTGTGCTGGCTCGGAACAAAAAACATACAAGGAGAGAATTAAAAAAAAACATGCAGCAAAACCCCTGAAAATACCCGTTTCATAAGAGTCTCCCTTATGGAATATCTTATAACCTGGCGCGCGAGGGGAAATATTTTGCTTCAGTGTGTCGTGCCAGACCAAGGACACACACACACACACACACACACACACACACACACACACACAAAGTGAGAGGGCTCCACAGACAGGTTTTCACCGCGGTGCAAGCTGCGCACACGCACGTACGCACTCAAGCAAAGCTCGCGCGCAGATTCTGTGAGTCATACCGCATTTGGAGACTCGCGGCCTCACTGCTCTTTGAGTGAAGTGGAGCTCCTGCTGATAACGCGCGCGCACACACACACTCACATAGACACACGCATAGACACGGAGACAAGCCTCTCTTCTGAAGTAGACATTGTTCCAGGATTGTGCGTTCAGATGTACAAATGCACCAGGACGCACGCGCGCCACAGGCTCTATGTCAGAAATTACAGACTGTGCTGAGATGTAGAGATGCAGACACACACACACACACACACACACACACACACACACACACACACACACACACACACGGACGCATACAGGGACACACACTCTCACAGAGTGTACAGTTTGTCTTTCTTTGTTGGAGATGCTGGTGGGTGTGGTGTTAGCAGCCCTGCATCCATAATTTTGTGGCTGTTTATTTCAGATGACTTTTCATCATCAGACCAGAGGGAGTGAGCACACACTGTAAAAACTTCACCCCTGATTAATACTGCGTTTTAGGAGGATATTAAAGGGTCAGTTCACCCAAATGTCAGCACACACCCACACACACACACACATGCTCATAGTTTGGGTTTTATCTGCTGATGATTTGAGATATTATCCCACTGCAGTGGAGGTGAATGGAATTTTATTTGTGCTGCTCAAAGCACTGAAGACTGATATCTGAAAATCTCATAACCGGTGTGTCTCTTCAAAACTGTCATGGTTACTCACTGTGGACAGTTTTCTGGTGACTTTTAACAAAACAAAATGTCTAACGTAAACTTGTTCCGGACATGTGTTCTGAACTGAGAATAAACAAATCTCCAGTGTGCGTTATCTATTTGGATTTGGCGATCCATTTATTCTCAATAAAATAAACACATGCTCACCATAACACAGAAGGGTGACAGCATTGTCCATATGTAACCATAATTCCATTCACCAAATTCAGTTTTACACACCAATACGTCATACTTTTTGACATGCTTCCATAACAAAAACTTCCCGTTCCACACACCTGAGCCGTGAACTCTGACAGCTCTAGTATATTTATATTTACCTTGTGTTTAGATAAAATAAACAAAAACTACATTATGGCTCCAACTGTGACTACTTCTTGGGAGAAAGTAGTTCCTATACGTAAACTTTATTTGGTTATGCCAGTTTAAGGGTACAGTCACACGAGCTAATGCAGGTGAGTGACCTGCCAAGATCACTTGTCAAGATCATATTCATGGTGAATGTGGGCAGTGCCGGATATGAGGCACACATAAAGCTAGCTTGTTAGCTAGTTTAAGCTATATTTTGCTTATAAGTTCTTATGTACATTTGAAATTTTCTTATGTTCCGTTCCACTCTATGAAAAAAAGAAAAAAAAAATCCCGGATACGGCAGCTGCCATCTTGTATTGGTGGTATCATTTGGACTCAGAGTTTGTGCATTAGCGATCTCTGTGGTATCAAGATCCCGCCCATACACTTACCCATACAGCAGTGTGAGAAAAACTACCTGAAATGACAGAAATCATGTTTGGGTAAAAATGTATTTGACCCACACGTTGACATTGTATCCATCTGCTTACATGGAGGGGGCGGAGTTTATGGCCTATACCACAGCCAGCCACCAGGGGCCAATCGAGATCTTTCGGTTTCACTTTTGGGGAGCTTTCGTGTCATCCATCTTTATTATACTTAGTCTTAAAATCTCTTGTTACAAATGTTGAAAATATAAGGCTTTAACATTTTGAATTTGTGGGGTCTTAACTACTACAACCATTTGATCTAATTTCATTTATCCAGTTTTAATTTCCTCTTGTGAAAATGAGTGAAGCCTTACTATGTAAAAGTCCATATTTCTAATGTTACAAATCTTTAAAAAACTATAAGACTGTCATTTTACTTCACACTTGCACTTACCTGTTGGCAAAATGTAGATTGACTTAACTCACGCTAATAACCATATTCCTACATAACACTTACCTCTGCACATATATCCTCTTGAGACCCTGTATCCTCATTTGAGGACATCACATTTAGGGTTTACTTGACCTTATACTTCATTCTACTTGGCTTGGAGCCATTGACCTTGTTCGTGGACACTTTTTGTGCCATCTAGTGGTAGTAGGAGCACAATACACTAATCCATGTAGAAACAAGATGGCAGCCATCTCTGTCAAGTTAGTCTACAGCTGATCCCGACACAAAAGAGGACAAGGTCCAAAACCTGATCACATTTTATGGTTGAAACTTGTTTATTTCTGGTTAATAATGTTTGTAGTTTGATATGGCAACACATTTGACCGATGTCAGCAACAGTAACATGCTGAGATGCTTGAGGACATTGAGACTTAATTATCGTTGACGATATTTAGTTTTTTAAACTTTCTGGGTCCTACTGATCCCAAATAGCTAGGCATAATGCATACCAAACAAATGCTCAGGTCTCAGGAGGATATACTACTTGCATGCAATGCTTGAATATGTACATGGACATGATTTGTCCAAAAATCTAAATTTGGTGAAAAGGTGTCTTGAACGGGTCCAAAAAAGTTCTAAACTTAACTGTCTGATACCTGTAGTCACCCTGTATACAGTCTATCCTCCTGAATATCATACAATATTGGATGGTTAGACATAGTCTGGGGCCGTTAGTGGCCGTTTTGGTAAGGAACCGGAACCAGGGCGAGTAAGACAGGATCTGGAATTCGATGGATGCGCCTTTCCGTCAAAATAAAAGCACCAAGCTAATAAAAATACGGTGAAACTTTAATTTAAAGAATATAATTTACAAGAAAAGCCCCAAGCCATTAAGTTAATTGATTTTCTTACACCCCTCATCACCCCAAATCGATGGTGCGCCAGAATTTAAAGTTTTACTTTGGTGAACACTTTTACTTTGGTGAATTTGGCATCCACTCTCTAGACCGGAACCAGAATCCAGACAAAATTCGGAGTGAATAGAAACCAGGCTCTTCACTATATGTGAAGACCCTGCTGACGCAAGGCTAGTTAGACATGGCAACAATCAGTGTCTCTTCCATGCATACTTCTTTGCGATTGGTTGAGGCTGGGACTTCGCCATTCAAGGTTCACCAAAGTTTAACTCCACACAAAGATGTGAATTTGCTTTGCCACTGGAAGCAAATGTTGAATTGAAGTGAACGGGGGGCAAATACAGGCCAATGTTAATTTCACCTGTGTGTGACTGTACCTTTCAGTGTGTCTTTTCTTTTCAACGGTCTTTACAGTGCAAACAAAATTCCATCCATCTCTGTTGTATTGGGCATGGAGGCAGATATGTCAGAGGCAGATATCTCACAACCACAGATAAGGCCAGAACTCTCTGCACAGCTAGATAACACTGTCCACAAGTGGAATGGGTGCGAGTCTAAACCACCCTGCCGTCTATAGAATAATATAGCACCACAAGGACCAGCTACAGCATTAAAACCCTGCTTATGCTTTAACAAATGAATAATGTAACTCTCTTAATGACCACTTTAACTTATAAACCTTAAGTGAGTTTCTGCTCTGGGGTGTATTTTCAAGTACATCTCTGACTGCTGGATTTAATTATTTTAAATAGATATTTTGACGTTATTATAGTGCTCATTTTACTTAATGATTATTTGAATTCTCCGGTTAACACTCAGCTACATCTCTGAAACTGACTAAACACGCAGATCTTCACAGTGTCTCGGGCTGATCGTGTCGGGAGGAAGACATGTTTGAAGACATAAAAGGCTTTCCTTCTAAATCTGTTCCAG